CAGGGAGCCCGATGCAGGACTCGATCCTGGGACTCCAGGATCATGACCTGAGCCGAAGGCAGTCGCTTAACCGACTGAGCCACCCAGGCGCCCCTGATAACTATCATTTTCTAAAAATGACTTTACAATTGTGTCTTAAAGAACTTAAGAAAGTGAAGAAAAATAGATTCCCGTAAGGGTAAAATGTGTGGTAGAGTAGTTAATTTCAAAAGTTTTCAGCAAAGGGAAACTTCAGAAAGTCTCTTTTTACCAGCTATGTGCTAGAATCCTTATTGCAGCATGATCTAAAAACTGGAAACAACCTAAATGTCCAACAATAGGATGTTGGTTAAGTAAGCCACAGAAATCTCTGTAGTTATTAAAAATGATGAGGTTTATAATCATTGATGTGGAAATATATTCACTGGGGAAAAAACAGGTTCTAAAGTGGCAGGCTTCAATCCAATTTTTATAAAATAAGTCAGCAAATAAATAATACTGTATGAATCTGGAGTTTCCAATGATGTATGCCAAAATGTAAATGGCAGTGCTTTTCTCTGGGTGATGGAAATTTGGGTGAATTATTTGAATTTCTAGGTTTTTGTAAGAACTGCCTTTTTAAAACAATGTACACATATTACCTTCATCATTAGAACCAACAGTAATATTATTTTCATTTTTAAAAATCTCAACTTGAAGGGTAGAGTCCAAGAGTTTTGATGTAGAAGGAACAGTAAAAGCTTCCCTCATCCAACTCAACCACTCCCACCCTCTTACTGCCAGTGCTGGAACCCTTTCTGGAAGATTCTGACAGACCATCACCTCATTAATGAATGAATGGGAAACTCACTACTTTCCAAGTATAACAAGATAATTCTGATGACAGCGGAATTCCATTTGGGATGGGAATAGAGTTTGGAGAAATACAGAACACTGGGGGGCAGTAGGGTGCGGTGAGCCCCTAAGACCATGGGGTATACCCATGATCAAGTGCTCTGTATGAGACAAGGGGAATCATTTGTGTTCTTCCTGAAGGGAATGGGAGAGAGCTTTGCAGAGAAAGATGAGGAGAGAGGGCATTTCACAAGCTAGAGAGAGGCTGGGACCACTGCTGCCATCTTTGAGAGAGGCCGGCGGGAGGTCTTTCTACCTAGTGCACCATGAGACTGTTAACTTGGTTTGTTTGGGGTTTTTTTACCCTGTGATGTTAACAGCTCCTTGCCTCTTCTGCTTTGCTTCCTCCCACTCTAATTTTTTTTTAGTGAAAATCACAGTCATGGGTGACTTTAAATCTCAACTGACATGCTAAGAAACAGCACCCAGAGTCGGCATTAACCTCAAGACCAGAACTTGCCAAACTCTCGGTCATAGCTCTGTACCCTCACCTGGTGGAAACTAGGGAGGAGGGTCCATCTTGCTAGGGTTCCACAGGCCCAGGCCCCAGTGGGACAGCCTCTCTCACTGTTCCAGCTCTGCTCAGAGCAGCCCCCAATCTGCAACTGACTCCGTGCCTTTGGTTCTGCTCTGTAACAACTCAGTCCGTTTCATCCCCATTCTGAGTGAAAGATAAAGGAAAGATGATGTCCTTGAAATATTAAACCAGAGTAATTTTCATTCCCCATAAGTGGTGTTGTCCTATGACCCCTCACTCGTTGGATCAATGGGTTTGACTACTTCAGGGAAAGGCTGCATACTTAAGTAGAACAAAGTCATTATTCAGCTTAGAGTGTCAGACTAAATGTCTTCAGTTCACAGCAAGATAATTCCAGGCTTTGTTAAGAGAAAAAAAAGGGTTTTGCCTAAATTCAAAAAGTTTTCTTTTCAACACTTAAAGAGCAAAGCTCAGGGGTCTGAGCTCAGACTTCATTAGAATGCTTTGGTCTTCACCCTGCTGTGTGTGTCCCTCTGGGAGTGCATGAAGATTTGCTAAGGGATACGTGGTCACTGGGGATTTTAAGGGAACGGTTTTCAAAATAATCAACTTCCATGTGTATTCTTTCCTAAAATTAACCTACTTTTAGAATTTGCAGATTACCCTGCTTTTTCAAAGTAGTCTCCTCCTTTGCAAAGGAAAAGCATACCTCTCATTGTCCAGAATCCTACAATAGTACATTGCCCAAGGGTACAAAAACCCCTGGGTCGCCAAATGACTGGACAGTTGGAGAATGCATGCCCCTGAGGGAGGATTCTTTGGGAGCAGCTCCAGGTGAGCTCCCAGGAAAATACTGAGGGCCATGGGGCCTCAACTCATCCAGGCTGCAGCGTCATCCACGGCTAAGTGCCTCATCTATTTATCTTTGTTTCCTTGAATTAGAATTCAGAAGTGATATGGTTGTCATGAGGACTTATATTGAAACATTGACTTTGAGAAACATTGAGAAATAAAATCCAGACTTGTCCAGACAGAAAGTATGGTTGCTTTGGCTGACGGGCTAGATAAGAAAAATTGACTTTGCCAGTTAGGTTCTGCATGGTTATTTTCTATACGTTGAAGGACCAAAATCAAATGTTCTAAGGTTTTAACAAAAATCTTTTTAGAGCGTATATATACGATATAAAATACACAGAGGTAACATCTTTTGCAACTATTAAGCATGAGATAAAAATTTTCAGATGTCAACCTAAAAGTGTGGAAGCTTTCAGCATTCTTGTAGAGGGTACGAGAGGAAAGTCTGCTACAAAACAGTGTAGAGGAGCACCTGGGTGGCTCAGTCGGTTAAGCATCTGCCTTCAGCTCAGGTCATGATCCTGGAGTCCCAGGAACAAGCCCCACATCAGGCTCTCTGCTCAATGGGGAGTCTGCCTCTCCCTCTCCCTCTGCTCCTCCCTCTGCTTGTGCTCTCTCACTCTCAAATAAATAAATAAAATATTTAAAACAAACAAACAGTGTAGAGAGGCAGGGTAAGGTGGAAACCCATTTTTGGTTAGACATGAAGGGGAAGTGAGGTGAAGGGCAAGAGGTCTTATGTGAATGTGGGAGCTCCCACCCTGGGACAAACCTAAAAATCCAGGAGCCAGTGGGGAGTGGGAAATACTTGGAATGAACAGAAAAATTTGAGAGAATCCAGAGCACAAGGACTTGTTTCTCCCCCTTCAAGACATAGTAGCTGAGGAAAACCTCAAGCATCTTAGCCCAAGACATGAAGTAACCCCAGGGCAGTGGACATGGTGGTAAAGTATCCTTAAGAGGGGAAAGCACTGAGAGACCACCAGGCCTGGCTGCCTATGGCAGTCACGTGAGGTTGAAGAAATTCCCAAGGCCCTACAAGACCCACTGAGGGATGCGCAAGGTGACTAGGAGTTTGGAATGGCCGGATCTTTAGAGGAAGGTGGATGAACTCCCCATGTGCAATCCTACTCCCTCCACCCTTCTCCTTGCTGTGCCCTGATATCATCCAGGAAGAAGAAAGGAGGCTGGACAAAGGAGGAAACCTGAAGGAGGCAGTTTTAAACCAGCTGTAGGACTCCTAACCCTGAGTCTGTGAATCATCAAATAATTTACACAGGTAATCACTTTTTCATTAGAGTAATATATATAGTCATTGAGTTTTATTTTGTTGTTTTTTTCTCTATTTTCTACTTTTTTTTCTCCAAGTTTTTATCTAAATTCAAGTTAGTTAACATATAGTGTAGTATTGGTTTCAGGAGTAGAATTTAGTGATTCATCGCTTACATATAACACCCAGTGCTCATTACATCAAGTGCTCTTCTTAATGCCCATCACCCATTTAGCCCTTCCCCCCACCCACCTCCCCTCCAACCACCCTCAGTTTGTTCTCTGTAGTTAAGAGTCTCTCATGGTTTGCCTCCCTCTTTGTTTTTATCTTATTTTATTTCTCCTCTTCCCTAATGTTCATCTGTTTTGTTTCTTAAATTCCACATATGAGTGAAATCATACGGTATTTGTCTTTCTCTGACTGACTTCCTTCACTTAGTATAATACACTCCACATAATACACCCCACATAATACATACACATAGTTGCAAATGGCAAGATTTCCTTCTTTTTGATGGCTGTATAGTCATTGAGTTTTAGAGCTTGAAGGAACTTGAGGATTATCAGCCCTTTTGCTCTCATTTGACAAATATGGAAACTAAAGCCCAGAGCGATCATGTGAGTTGGCCTATGTTTGAGAGCTGGTGGTGACTCCCACTAGCTCAACTAAAGACTGAGTTTTTGGTAGTCCTTTATGGCACCAGCCTTCTAATGCTTTTTAGAACATAAATTCTTCCCACTCAGTTGGATGCTCTGCAATGTGTTCAGAATACCTCCAGTTTGGCTGAGCTGCTGATTCCTCCAGAGTAGCCAAGAACACCTGACATCTTCTACTGCTTTAATGATACGTGAAGAGAACAATAGTGAAACAAGCTTCGTGAACACTGGTATTAGGCATCATGAAAGCACTTTGCGGTAGGGCCGCCCAACTGAACCTTCAGCAATTTTGGAGATGGTCTATATTGTATTGTGCAATATTATGGCCACTGCCTGTTGACGCTTTTGAGCACTAGAAGTGAAACTAGTATGACTGAGAAACTGAATTTTAGATTTTACTCAGTTTTAATTAATTGTAACTTATATATGCATAATCACATGTGGCAACTGTACTGGACAGTGTAGATTTAGAATATTCATAAAAATGAGGTTCCTCTTCTTTTTCATCACAACGATCAGGAAATTGGTTGAAACCAATAATTTCTGACCTACATACCAATGTGTTCCTCAGATCTTTTATCTCCCAATTCTTGAGGAGACAGAATTTTATATTGTGCCAGAACAACAGTCATTCTCTGGAAGATCAAACATGTTCCTTTGAAGGCCAAAGGCTGAGCATAAATCTTAGTCACTAGACCAAGATTTATTGGTGTTATTTAATTTTTTATTGACTTTTACTGTGCATGTGATTTTCAAAATTAAATTCAGTTTTAATAGCGTTAACTTCTAATTAATGTTTTCCTAATTCCCCTACATTTTCAGATGATATTTGGTCTCTAGTACTACTGTATCCATTACCTATCGCTGCATAAAAATCATCCCAAAACTTTGTGGCTTAGAACACCAACATCTTCACTGTCACAAGTTTCTGGGGGTCTGGAACCAGGGCACGGCTTAGCTGGATTCCTTGGCTCAGAGTCTCTCAAGAGGCTGCACTCAAGTGTCAGCAGAAACTGTAGTCATCTCCAAGCTCGACCAGGGGAAGATGTACTTCCAAGCTCCCTCCTATGGCTGTTGGCAGGCCTTCGGTCCTGGCTGACTCTTGATGGGAGGCATCAATTCCTTGCCATGCAGGCCTCTGAAGAGTGCCACTCACAACATGGCCTCTGGCTGGTGGCTGCTCTCTGTTCCTTGCCACATGGGCCTCTACACAGAGCAGATCACAACATGGCATCCTGCTTCATCAGAGAGAAGGCAAGAAAAGCCTGAGACAGAATAGGAGCAAAGGGCCTGCTCTTTTGTAATCTAATCTCAGAAGTGACATCCCGTCACCTTTGCTGTATCTTGTTAGAAGCAAGTCATTAGATACAGCCTGCACTCCAGGTGAAGGGATTAGACAAGGGGGTGCACATCAGAAGGCAGGGATCATCAAGAATAATGTGAGAAGCTGATCTCCACAACTACTTTAAAGAAGGCTCTTTTCCTTGCTGGTCTAGTCAATCTTGGATCTTAGCTTCAGGGTCAGCTCTCCCTGGAGCCACACCAGAATGTGGGTGTGTCCAATGTCACCCACCCGGAATCCAAGACTCCTAAGTTCCTGATCAGTCCTCTGTTTCCTTTCATGCGTGTCTAGTTAGGACCCTAGCACACGTACATGGAGCTCCACAGTGCCAAGCAGAAGAATTTGACTTTAAAACACAGGCTCTAAGGTTTCTAAACAGAAGAGTGCTATGACAGAAGTGATTTTTAAAGAAAGATTAGTGTGATGACTGTAAAGTGAGTTGGAGAGGGAAAGACTGGAAATTACATTAATTCCAATTTATTTACACTTAGCATATTTATGCTCTACGGTTTTGTAGTTTGTGATTGTAAAAACATCCCATGTGTTTTCATAAGTCCTAATAAAATGGTCTTTGAAAGAATTATTCCGGCCAAAAATATTTCAAGTAAAATGCTACATTGGAAAGTCTAAGACCAAGTTTTATGATACACAGTATTTTCGCTCGTGCACATTGAAATAAACTCTAAAAATGATCTCCAGTGAATTTCCAGAAATGATGTCTTCTACTAGCATAGGAAGCTCCTGGGAGAGTCAGTACTTGAAAACCCTGAGAACATACTGTAGTCTATAAAATGTTTTAAAGTACTGTCCTTCTAAGCCTCTACCTCCAGCCATGACAACACATAAACTTGCATTTAAACAAGTAGGATGGTGTGGCTAAGTCTTCTACTTATCCAACAATATTCACCCTCACCTTCTTCTTTTAACAGTAAATTTTCTGAGGCTTAGCTGGGCACATCGCCTAGTCAAGACTACATTTCCCAGCCTCCCTTAGGGTTAGGTGCGACCATGAAGACAAAGTTCTGGCCAATGGGCTATGAGTGGAAGTGATGTAACTCCTGGTTGTGTCCTTAATGGGAAAGGTATGTGTTCCCCTTACTCCTTCTTCCCTTCTGACTGGTTGGTATGCAGATGTGATGACAGGAGTTGGGAGTAGTCAGAGGTGAAAGCTCCCATAACAGCCTGGACCATTTACCTATGGAAACTTCCATGACAGTTAAAAATTTCTTTTTTGCCTAAGTCACTGTGGTTTGGAGTGTCCATATTAGAGCAGTTTATACTATAACTTAGCTATTACAATAACTATCCACCTTTCCTTTATCTTGGTTCTCTACCTAAAGAAATAACAGAAAAAAAAATTTTTTTTAAATAAATAACAGAGGACACCTGGGTGGCTCAGTCGGTTAAGCGTCTGCCTTCGGGCTCAGGTCGTGATCCCAGAGTCCTGGGATCGGGTCCCACATCAGCCTCCCTGCTCAGCAGGAAGCCTGCTTCTCCCTTTCCTGCTCCCTCTGCTTGTGCTCTCTCTCTCTGACAAATAAATAAAAATATTTTTAAAAATAATAATAATAAAAAATAAATAAATAAATAACAGACACCTAGACAAAAGTGACAAGGAAAAGGGATGTATTGGGCCATGTTAAATTCTTGCTGTCCTCTCCTACTCACCGGGGAAGCTACCAGGATCATAATGGTAGTAGCAAACTCCTAATTTTTCTTGCTATTTGAGTTTACTCCACCTATTTTTTAAAAATATTTATTTATATTTATTTATTTTAAAGAGAGAGAAAGAGTGCACAAGTGAGCTTGAGCCGGTGGGGGGTGGGGAGGGACAGAGGGAAAGGATCTCAAGCAGACTCCCAGGGAGTATAATGCAGAGCTCTAGCTCCGAGATCATGACCCTAGCCAAAATCAAGAGTTGGAAGCTCAACCAACTGAGCCACCCAGGTGCACCTACTCCCCCTTTTTTTAGCCAATAATTAAAAGAGCAGTAATATACATCATATAAGTTCAGACTTGCTAATGAAGCAAGGGTGACTTTAAGTTCCCTTTCCCAGGTTTGACTAGGGTCCGGAACTAGAGATCTAGTCAGCTCAGTAACCACTGGCTCCCCAGGGCAAAACAAGCCCCAGTTGGTAGAATTTGCCAATTTCCATGGTGTAAATACTCCCACCATGGTCAATTGCAAGCTAGGAAGAGGAGAAGAAATGTTCACATTTGCACTTTGCAAGGTAATACTGGCTGGCTCCAGAACCCCGGGATCTCTCTATCTGTTGCCTCAGCCCGGGATTGCTTCCTGATCTCCTTATACTCTAGAGGAGGATGCTAAATTTCCATTGATGTACAACAGGAATAGTAAAGACAGTGTGGGGTGTGGCTCTCATGATCTCGGAAGTGCATCTGGGGCCTGACCTTCATCTGATTTATGATGCTCCTGCAGTAACATTTCATCCTTTTGGTTCAAGTCAGTGGCTGGTCAACTTGACTGCACACTGGAAACACTGGGGAGTTTTAAAAACTATAAATGTCTGGGGTCCAGCCACAGAGATTCTGGTTCAATTGATCTGGTCTGGAAGTGTTAAAAGCAGATGATTTTAACTGTAGCCAAGGTTGAGAGCTGCTGGTTTAAAGGAGACCTCTGGGGCATCTGGGTGGGTCAGCCAATTAAGCAGCCAACTGGTCAACTCTTGATTTCGGCTCAGGTCATGATCTCAGGGTCCTGGGATCAAGCCCTGCATCAGGCTCTGTGCTCACTGGGGAGTCTACTTGAGATTCTCTCTCTCCCCCTCTGCCCCTCCCCCCCACTGGCTCTTCCTCTCTCTATCAAATAAATCTTTAAAAATAAAGTAGCAGACCTCTTATTTATGTGGCAGAGGGTTGGTGTTATTATCTTTGCTTCTGGCATCAAGAGGAAAAGTCAACCTTATAAACCCTGGCAAAAAGGGAAGAAGTCAATGGCAAGGTCAGGACCGTTTCATAGTGAAAGGGAAGCCTGAGGAGAAGGGGTCTGTGTTCTGCCTCCTCTGTGGGTCCTAGAAAGACCCTTAAATAGTACTTTTCTGAACCCTTAAGAAAACACTAGTGAGTCTTCCTTTTTAATTAGAAATTTTAGTAAGCATAGGAAATGCTGAAATCCTAGGAAGCTGTTATATATCATTTAATCATCCCTGTTACGTTTTGAATTTTTATAAACTGGTATTTTCATTGTGAAATCTTGTTCAATTTCTTTCTGTCCATGTTCAAAGAAGATGTTAAATTTACTGCTATTCAAAAATCAAAAGACAACTAGGTTGTGCAGTTTTTGACCATTAAGTTAACCTCTGAAGTAAGTTGTGATTAGAATTTTACAAATTGGGGCGCCTGGCTGGCTCAGTCAGTTAGGCGTCTGCCTTCGGCTCAGGTCATGATCTCAGGGTCCTGGGATGGAGCCCAAGGCCAGGCTTCACGCTGAGCAGGGAATCTGCTTGAGGATTCTCTCTCTATCTCTCTGTCTCTCCCCCTGTTCACTTTCTCTCTCAAATAAATAAATAAATCTGTAAAAAGAAAAAAAAATTTTACAAATTGATAAAATTGCTAATTTACTAATGAATCATTTTCATGCGGTATTCTCTCATACAATAATCCATACAAGTCTATATATAAATACACAGGCAATATAAGCAAGGCACTAAAGATCTGTTGAGCCCAGCACTTGGTCAGTAGAGGCGAGCATGAGATGGAGGAAGAACAGAGGAGCAGGATGCCCAGGTGCTCAGCTTGACACCGTTCAAGTCTGATGCAGTTTCCTGAGTCATAGAAGTGAGGGCATAGAACAGGGTGACTTCGGCCTCTTCAACTTTAGTATTTTGATAAGGTATCCTGAGACTGAAATCCATCAGAGGTGTCATTGCACCATGTAGGTTCTTTCCCCTAGATTTGGCAGACATTGACAAACTCTGAGGATGAGTGTCTATTTCTAGTGGTTTCTTTTTCCCCCCTTGAGTTTATATTCTTTCTAAATCAGACATTGTAAATAAGTCTCATCTCCAGGTCCAGTCCATTTGACTAGTAGTGTTAGGAGTTACTTGGACAGTTAGGTAGTTAGGACCAGGGTCCCCAACAAGGAAATACGGAGTCAGGACAGCTAAGACAATACAGCACTAACATCCTGTTTTCAGCTTAGACAGAACCACACTAGCATTCTGCTTTGCAGCCTTTGCAGAAATGGCTTCTGCAGAACATCCTAAAATAAAACAATTAACGACAAAGCATTGGGTTTTTTTTTAAGATTTTATTTATTTATTAGAGAGAGGGAGAGAGAGAGAGAGCACAAACGGGGGAGGGGGGGACAGAGGGAGAAGCAGACCCCTGCTGAGCAGGGAGCCCGATGCGGGGCTCGATCCCAGGACCCTGGGATCACGATCTGAGCTGAAGGCAGATGCTTAACCGACTGAGCCACCCAGGCGCCCCAACCACAAAGCATTTGTCCCTATCACAAGCAAGGGGCAGTTAAGACATCAGCCCCCAGATGTCAGCCCAAAAAGACCATCAGCACATAAACATTAACCTAATAGGTAGACAAATGCATGACCAAAGCCCTGATTGGCATGACTCAGCACACCCTGGTTGCTTAAGATAGTTCTGCAAAGGAGCTCATAAAAAACCCTAACCTTAGAAACTCCAAAGCAACTCTCTTGGGTTCCCTCGCTCTTCGGGGGCTTTGTACTATCGCTCAATAACCTTGGCTTTGCTGCCCACCACTCTTCATCTGGTCTACCTCTTCATTCTTCAAAGCAGCGTGACCAAGAACAGCACGCACTAAAGGCAGAGAAGTCCTGCAGCAAGAGCAGTCTCCCACAGCACCGTGGTGAGAAGGTTTCTGAAGCCAGGTGCACACTTGGTGGGAGTTAAGAGTGCCATGAGAAATGGGGATCGTCTTGGGTCCGAAATGGGGGAAACAGCAATACAGGCCTGCCACGTGCCATCCGTGTTCCCAATCTTTCCATTGAGACCAGTGTTTTCTTCACTTCCCATTAGGTACTTCTGAAGGGAAATGAATTTGGGGACTCTGTATTCTACCGTCTTCCACTAGGAAAATTTAGCCCATTATCAAAGTCGAAATGGATCTGAAGGTAATTCAACCAAAGCATTTGGCTACTTCCTGAGTCTTTGACAAGCAGCTTCAATTTGGTTAAAATCTCTATAATGATCAAACAACCAGTGGTAGATCCGTTTAAACAACTAATTTACTTAAAGAAACAAAAAACCTTGTTATTTTGTTTTGGCTAAAACAAACAAACAAACAAACAAAAACCCTGCTTTTTGATTCTTCAGCTTTGAAGCTAGTCCCATTAGACACAGTCTAAAAGATAACAGAAGTCGTGACCTTCCTTCTCTCCGATCTCCTTAGGCCCAGGGGGCAGCAGCTTTCTCTGCAGCCCATGGGTCACCACAGCATGATCTGAACAGTAATTAACTACTTTAGAAGTTAATCCAGCATGTACTTTGAAGCAGAAGCAATTCCATTCCTAATAGTTGCTTGGCAGATTGATTCTTACTTCTGACTCTTGAAACTGTACGTAGTAATTGCCCCAGAATTTA